AGGCAGGCAGGCAGGCAGACAGACAGACAGACAGACAGACAGACAGACAGACAGACAGACAGACAGAACCAACAAGTAGCACCCTCAAACCACCCGTTCCCCAAGAATAGCATATAATAATAATAATATTACAGATCTACACATGGTGTCTGTTGTGCACGACCGTGTCCCGTGTCGTCGGCTCGGCGGTACAAGCACACATGGACTGTTACACAGCGCTTATAACAGCTGTGCCCTGTTGAGTCCCCAAGTTTTCAATGATACGACTACACGCGCATGCTGCTACTGGCTGGGAAACATTCCAGAGATTGATTAATCAATTATCTGGTCGTGCAAGGAGGACACCGGAGGAAAGGGGATTGGGGGAGGTGCAGGGATAGGGGGATACGGGATAAGAAAACGATGGATGGAGAATGAAAAGGGGGGGGGGAGAGAATGGGAGAGAAATGAGTGTGCCTCTCTTAGATCGCCAGGTGGATGAATTTAAAACTATTGTAATTCGAATAACTGACAGTGAAATGAAATCAAGATTCTTATCAAAACCAGTTTAGATGTTAGCGAATTGTTTCCCTCGCCTTGACGTCAAAGGTTTTCGATTCGTGGACAGTAAAACTGCGTGACGCTATAAAATGTTAACATGTCCACTAAGGGAAATTGGTAGCCAAACAGACAACAGTGGCATGCAAAGCCATCACTGTCCTGGGCAGAGTGCCAAAGTGTACATAAAGCTCGCGGTTGATCCTTATCTGATTGAGATCTGAGAACACAGCTCGGTTTTTGTGAGCACCTTCCCTTTTCTTTTAAAGCATTATAATTAGAGTGCCTTACCCGAGTTCTGTTAACGGACGTATGAAGCGTTCGATTCCCTCATGCAGAGGATACATTTTTAAATTCCGTATCACCATACGTTTCTATGAATTATCAAAGTTTCGTCAAAAGACGCTTAAAAATTTCAGAGCAGCACACATATCATGGTCTGTATTAAGTTTTTTAAATCTTCTTTCATAATATATTTTAAAAAGGCCAAATCATGTATTTTTAAACCTTTGTTCAAATGAGAGATTTAAAAATATTTATTTAAATCCACCGATATCTTATGTACAACGCCGGCGTTAACACAATGACATTCCTTTAATTAGTTTTACTGTGTACAATGTTCGCACTACAAGAATGGTAATAGCTGTTGCCAAGATCAAACCATCCCCCACTTTGAATGAAGTGTCCAAATTAACATGTCTGGCGCACCAAAATATTAGGTTTGTATTATTTCAATTTTGGTTGATCATAAGATTGACCATGTTGAATTCTAGTTCCAATATTATCAACCCAGGCCATAAGAATAAGAACGTTCTCCTACTTTCTCAGATCTGTTTCCACAAACTATTTTGTTTGTAATCGTTACCTTGATGTTTTCTACACATTAGCAACTGGAATACAATATTAGTAACCCCCTCTCCCCCCAAGCAAGACTTAAGTTTGATTAATCTCGACTGAGATGTAACGGTGAGAGTAAAGGCTATCGAGCGGTCTATGGGGCTCTTTTAAAATTATGAACAAGACTATTACTAGAACAGCAACATTCGAAGTTCTAGAACTTCGATATTAATGGTTTCTAAAGCTTAAGATCCACGATTTTCCCCTACCACTCAGAATATCATGAACACACCTTGGAGACGGCCTCTTATCTTGAAATAGACCCATACAAATGCAATAGGGTGCATTGATGAATAATGAAAAGCAGAAAAAATGCATCCCATATGTTCAAAATTTATTTTGACCCTCTGTCTCCTTTTAATCTGATTTTCGCTTGTAGTACAGACAAGTAATTTTTCTCACTTTATTGGTATCTTGGGAAGAAAATCAGACTTGAAAGTCTCCAATAGTAATCTGGCAGTGTAGCGTAGACATTTGTAAATAGGAACAGCAATTTTTCTGATGTTTACGTAGATGTTAATCTATTTTTTTTAAACCTTGTGCAAATATTGTTTGGGTTAAATGGGTACGTTTTCACCTTCTGTCTCTTCTAATAATATTATTATGTCCTAGCTCACTTTCTTGAAGTTTGACCTCTGAGTCACACCTTCATTTAGAAAACCTGGCAGGTAGTTCAGCAGTCCCCCCCCCCCAAACACCGCGCCTCAAGCCCATGGTGTACAGTCTCCCTCATCATGCATACCCCCCCCCCTCTCTCTCTCTCTCTCTCTCTCTCTCTCTCTCTCTCTCTCTCTCTCTCTCTTTCTCTCTCCCTCTAATTCTATTCTTGCATTTTCCTTTCTTTCTTTCCTCTTCCATTTTCACTACTCCTTCTGTATTTCTTGATTCCTCTAGTATCAGTGAGCAAATATCAATATTTAATTAGCAAGACACACAGTCACAGTCTGGAAGTGGAACCCCTGCCCTGGTCTCGACTCCTCCCATGTTCCATATAAAGCTAAGTGCCCAAGGGTCCAGATCTCTCATTATGTGTTCTCATTTCCAGTATCTAAATTATTAAATACCAAGCCTTTAGCATCTCCACTCGCGGTAATTTCTTTCTCTGCGTCTCCCTTGTGGATAATTTACTGAGTTCATTTATCCCATCTTGCGTCTACTTTTCACTCAGATGCAAATGTGTGCATTCTAAGATACACAAGGGGAAGAAAACAAACAAACAAGCCTCTACCCCCTCGAGCATAAAAAACAGAGCCTAGGCTACAATTTTATAATTCACCTGGACCCGTGTTGTTGTTTTTTTTCAGTGATCAAAATTAGGATTAGTAAATATCACGTTTGAGGGAAGGAAAAAAATTACGGTGAACCTAGAATAAACCCCAGTTTAGACCAGGAGCCAGGCAATAAAAAACAACTCACGATTATTATATTTTCCTCTCGGGATTTCCGTGCATCGTATTTACTGTGTTTGACAACATGGCAAGGATTCCGATGACATGAATACCCCCCCCCCCCCCCCCAAAATGGCATCTAAGCTCCATTTAGAACTAGATCCTACCGTATAGCACTCGCTTTCTTTCTCGGTCATTCGAGTTAACACAGCTAGTGTATACATAGAACTCGAACAGTCTGTTATATACCCCCCTCCCCCACTCCACCGCCTACAAACAATTATAAGCAGAAAATTGCCTTGTTGAGCTTGGATATATTCACGACTGGCAAATATTTTCCTCTGAATCGGAGGTAAGACGTCAATATTTATTTCCAAGTTCTATTTTTCAGATATTGTTTTCCAAACACGTGAATCAAAAGCTTTCATTGGTAGGCTAATACGTTTCACAGGTTGTACCTTTTGTATGTCCTGTTTGTGAAAGCAGAATAGAGGCGTGGACAGGAGAATGGAGACGGTCCAGATGACTGCGAGCACTAGAATGACTTGGCGCGTGGTCAGTTGAGATGCGTGGACGATGGACATGTAACGGTCGATGGCTATGGCCAGTATAGTACAGGTTGACACGAACACGTCGATGGTTGCTAAAGCTGGGACAAATCTGTTGATGGAAAGCACAAAATAGACGAAATCTTTTCATTGTAAACTACCAGACATGGCTTTCAGTAGTTTTTTTCAACGATAAGCTACATCGGTCTTAAAACTAAGCCGAGAGAACCATGTCTAATAACGATAGTTCGTCCATCGATATCTGATGATGTCCAGGGCATCAGCAGAAAAGATTACAATGTATTATTCTGTCTAGAACTCTTTCCTACAACATTTGACTGATACGCAGCGGAATGCAAAGTTTAAAATTCACTTAAGTCATGCTTCATGCCAGCTTGATACTTAGATCTAGTCCTTATTCAAAGAGCTCTAAGTCTTATGTTCATAATTTGATATGCATTATCGTCATCTGTTGTACTGACATGATGTGAATATCTACATATTTGCAACCGTTTATTTAAAGAGCGCATGAAGAGTACCTTACAATTCCGAAGAAAAAAAATGTCACACCTTTCCCCTACCCCGTCACCCCACCCTACCTCCTGTAAAAAAAAAACCGCTGTGGTTATACGTGAGTCATGACCACTGCTGACGAGTTGAGCCCATGATTGATCAGACAGCCGGCTATTTATATTTTCCGGCCCTCTCAAAATAATGTCTTGAGCGAGGGAGCGATGTCTATTATTTTGTGATCGTCTCGGATGGATATTCGTGGATATTTTTATTGACAAGAAGGTCAATGGCAAATCTCTCTCTCTCTCTCTCTCTCTCTCTCTCTCT